GAAGCGATTACAACCGTTGCACTCAGGATACCACCACTTAGGGACCTAGTGGCAGAATACAACGGTTTAAAGCTCTTTGCAATAGTTAGGGACAGAAGGCAGATGTTCGCCGTGTGAATGCCGGCAAATGCCCCGTCTGAACGCACCGTAAATGTACTATTGCCGTATAAAAGCTATTATTATTTATTGCAATTATGTAACAAATCATTTTACATTGGGTCTGCTTTTTGTTTTTTCAACTAGTCTGAACACTCTTCTTTCCAGTCTTCCAGTTGTGACAACTGGATGAGCATAACTTTGATGTACTATAACTCCGTAAGCAAAAGTAGAAACTAGAAGCACACCTGAAACCTAGTTGATGCACACCCACATCCTGATTGAGAAACAATTAAAACATAACTTGTGGTGTGGTGGCGTGTGAAGAATGAATGGGTGTGAGAGGGCATACAATAACATATATAAAGTGTGTGTTCAGGTACATATACACAGTATGACAGATAACTCCAGTTAGCAAGGCAAGAATTACAGTTAACAGGAACTAGTGAGTCACAGTAAATAGACATATTATCCAGTATATTTTCTCCTCATTCTACTCCTCATTCATCTGCTATCAGCTTTAACGGAATCTGTAAAATATTTACCACCTGAATCCTGTGCTGGCTTACTTGGAAGTAAGCCATACTCTATTCATTAAGACTTATTTCCATGTAAATATATAGAAGATTGCAGCCTATGAGAAGTGGGTTAATTGGAGGAAGAAATTACAGGAGCCATTCTAAATGACAGGAAACTGGCTTGGAGTATTTTTCTTAGTGGAGAGTAACGCCAACTTGTTTGCCCTTATCGAGCAGTTTAATCACACTAAAGGCTATTTTAAATGCATGTGGTAAGACACAGAGAACAATATACAACTTCAGGTTCTTTCCACATTCTGACTAATTAAGAGGGTAACTGAAATAATTTGTTAATTTGACTGGAAATGCCTCCTGTTACTTGAAATACTCGGCCTACTATTTAATTCTTCTGAATACAATATATATACCTTCTTTTCAGTAACTTTGCCTGGTCCCATTTCTATTAACCAATGCAGTGCTGACAGAAAGTGAGTATGCTTGAAGAAAAAACATGACAGTTATATGATATTAGCCACAACTCATTTCTGATTCAGGGCGTCCCTTATCAGTTCCATACATCTTGAATTCCAGCAGCATTGACTAACGTAAATATTTCTACTCAACCCCACAGTCTGCAAGACTTAGTACAATATACAGCCACAAAGATGGACTGTGTTTTGTAGGTGATTACAGACTCAGTGGAGAAACAATTGTCCACAGAATTATATGCACACATAACCTTTTCCACAGGCTTGCTAACTATACCAAAATAGATCTGCCACAAAGTAAATACATGTTTGTAAGGATACTGCTGGACGAATCACCCAACTCAGCAGCCAAGTGGTTAAACATTTATGATTTGATTTTTATCTCAGCTTGGAATGTCGTTGGAGTGTCCCACTTCTAACAACTGTTTGCTAAGTTAAGGCTTTAGTGTTTACACAGCGCTGAATGAAGCAGCCTGGTCACCAGATGTGAATGCTTCCCCAGACTGGAGTTTTCAGTCAGATCACCGTCCTAATGGTCCCTGCGCCAATCTTCTTCCTCAGGACATCCACCAGCCTTTGCAACCTGGGATGGGGGGAAGGGAGGAGAGAAAAGGAAACCAATATTAGGAATGTCCTGACTGAAAGAGACAGTGTTTGCCCTGAACCAATATGTCCCAGGGGTGGTCATGCTAGGAAACAAAGCATTACTGTAACAGAGACAGGCTCCTGGGGCAGAATGCAGACAATCTGAGAGAAACTTTTAACCTACAACCCGGCCTGTCGCAGTCAGAAGAGTGTGTTAACTCATCTCCCACTTCGTTGTAAATACAATATCTGAGGGCCTCATGTCTCCCAAGTTTACACAGTACTTTGACAGTTTGTGTGTGAATCTTCTTACTGAGATGCCATGACACAGGCAGCACATTTGGCTCATGGAGGGTGGGAAGAAAGCTTGCTGTGTCTGTTGCTCTCATTAAATGGAACAGCCAATTCTCTTTGGTCTCTGAAAATACCCCTGTGCTTGATTCTAGCTTAGCTGTGTATGGGTTGGATGAATACTGTATGTTTATGTTTCCCCATATGTATGGAATGTAGACATTTGTTTGCAAAACTGATGATCTGTCACATTGGCTAGTTAGCCATAGGGAATTAGAAACCCTTCATTAGGTCTCCTCAGTCTCTGTCCTGCCAGGGCACACTGCAAAGTACCCAGTGCCGTTTGTTAGGAAGGACCATAAATGCATAAACCATCACCAGATATTGCCAACTAGACTCAGACACTATTCAGTCTGTCAGCAGATGTGAGTCTGAGTCTAAGAAAAACTAAAGCAGGTGCAATTATTTATTTAGAAAATTTGCATGCTGCTTCTCCAGAACATGCTCAAGGTGGCTAACAACTAAAATAATGACAATACCCACAAGTCCATAAAACCAAGTTAGCTAATACATAAAAACAAGCAAAAAACAACAACCAAGTCAAGCCAATAAAAACAATTCTAGGGCATAAAAAGCGTAAAACAAACAAAGCAGTCTAAAATGATATTGATAAAACAGTCCCTCCAATAATTATTCTCTCCAGTACATCACCTGTTCTCAAACACTCTCAGCAGTCCAGGACATTGCTTCTCAGTTCAGAGAATGTGTTGGACTGAAAGAATACAGAGAGGTCCAGTTTCTTCAAAGTACCGAGTGTCTTGAACTTTCTTAAAATCCATGGCAACAGGAAACACTACTCTCAAGAACTTAAAAGGGGACACCTAGAGATGGAA